GAGTGTCAAACTGGTTCCAGAAAGGGCCATGTGGCTGCAGGTTTTCTTTACAACCAAGCAATAGCACACCAGACTTCAGTCATCTCATCAAGTGAGTCCATTCTGAACATGATGACTTGATGAGATGACTGCAGTCTGGTGTGGTATTGATTGGTTGGAAAGAAAACCTGCAGCCACACGGCCCTTTCTGGAACCAGTTTGACACCTGTGTAATACAGACTCTGTGTTTGTTCTCCACATCATGGAGCAAACAATTTTTTTTAGAGAAAGTAAGCGGATGTAGTGAAGTGTTTGGATCAGTTTGGAAGTCCTCTAGGATCCCTCCCGCTTTATTCTCTGCTCACTCTGTCCCAGTAATCCCAGTGTGAACATGCAGCTGATTCTGATCCTATGCTGTTTCCTCCAGGCTGATGTTGGGCTTCATGTCTGGCTGTGCCCTCATCTCCATGTGGATTCAAAATGTTTCTGCGGCTGCCATGGTGATGCCCATCGTAGAGGCTGTCCTCCAGCAGATCCTCAAGGCAGAGGAGTTGGGATGTGCTGGCAATGTGAACCCTAATCTGCAGATGGACGGTAACTCAATCTACTTTAGTAAAACAGAGACTACCATGCTTTCATTGGTCTGTGGAGGAGATGGAGGACTGTTGGCCTAGAGGGTTAGAGCAGTGTACTTGTGCTCTGAGGTCCCACAGCCTCAAATCTGGGTTCCTGAGCAAGACCGTTAACCGCCGATTGCTCCCTGGACGCCGCCAATGGCAAGGGGAGGGGTTAATGCAGAGGTACTGGTTAACACTTGTAGGAGACGGCAGCCTCTCCAGTAGCTCTCTAGTTTCTACTTTTTATTGGCTCTTTTTTAAACTTTTCTCAGGTCTTTTGTACCTTTTAATTTATTCTACTGTTTTCCAACCTTGGGATTATTTTATCCTTTTATTGAACATGCTCGACGGAAGGAAAAAAATGTTTATTGAAAAGTCGAATTCCAACATGCTGTTTAAAATTCCCAATACAGCACTCACGCCTCAAAAAGGTATTTCACCCAAATGATGTACCCCATCTCACCTGTATTTATATCTTCCTAACCCTATCTTCCAGTAACACTGTGTAAATGTATGAGCACTACAAAGTGCTATCTGGACTGGAATTTGTGTGTGTGTGCGTGGCCCCAGTTGTGTACGTGCATGATAGCCTGATCTGCACGCAAGGATTAGTGTGGACCTCTGCATTGTGCTCTGATGCCTAAAAAGAAAAAAATGTTATTGCCAAGATTTCCTGGCTCATTCCCTGTGTACGAGTTCTTCTGCACGTATTTCCAAGTATGGAGAAGGCCTTTTTACTGAACTACAAATAAGCCTCAAATAACATTACTACTACATGAACAATAGGACATGCCGCTATACAACACAGCACCTCAGACAAGCAGAGGAGGAAATAGAGGGGCTGCAAAGCCGTTGCTCAAGGCTAGGCTAGTGGAGTATTGGAGGCCCTGCAAACCATCGATCCCCTCCATAATCATGGGGAATGTGAACTCGCTGCCTAACAAGATTGACAAGCTGACTGCACTGAACAACCAGCTGATTTATAGCGAAAGCAGCTTGCTGATCTTTACCGAGACATGGCTAAAGCATCTTGTACTGGAGTCTTGTGGGGTGTATCAGGGACAACAGGGGGGAGGAGGACAGGATTGTAATTGGGGAGCCCAACATCTCCGAGACCAAGGAGCTGGTCATAGACTTGGGAGGAAAGGAACAAAGACTAAGCCGGTACTACTGGAGGGGGCATAAGATAAGAATTTTCGTTGGTATTTATTAAATTGAAAAAGCTTAACAGAAACTCCTAGAACAATCAAAAGTGGGTCCATCCTCAATTCTATATTAAACATATCTGAAAGCTTTGAATATGCCAGACCAAAATTTATTTTGTACAATTAATTATGTAATTTTTGGGGTTAATTTTGTAAAAAACAAATACAAATGTAGTAGTATCGCTTCTTAAATATGGCATGTGTCACATTGTGGGGATGTGTTCGGGAAAATTATGTAACTACACTTTACAGTAATGAAGCCTATGAATGATTTTAAATTGAATAAGGTGGTGTCTAGAGTTGGCAGAGCACTTGTGAATATTCTCTAGTGCAGACTTCCAGAGTTCGTTACTTATATCCATTCCTATTTCCTGCTTCCAGCCTGTTCTAAGGCTCTGCATGGATGGCGAGGATCTGGATAGCAACACATTATAAATCTGGGAGATTAAATGCCCTTCCTCATCACCCAGTTTAAAGAGTTCATCAAATTCATTAGGTTTTATATTTTCTAAAGTGCGCATGTGTCAGGATTTGTCTGTGTATTGAGGACCCAAAAGCAGAGGCAGGCAGGCAGAGGTAGGGAGAGGTGAATTTTTAGTAGATTTAATGAAGAATACTGAAACAAAGTCCAAAACCAAAGGCAACAGGAATCCAAAAATACAAATGAAAACAAAGTCCAAAAACAAACAAAAAAACCAGGAGTCCAAAAATTCAAAGATAAAAAAAACCCCAAAACAAAACATGAAAACACAAGTCAAATGTTACCAAAAAAACCTAAGAGTCATCAGGGGTAGAACTGTAACCTGGAGGAAGGCTCAGAGAGACGAGTAGGAGGAAGACTGATGAGGTTAGACGAGGACCCAGCAAAGAGGGACTGAACAGCAAGAGTATTGATAGGAGACAGAAACAAAGAGAGGGCTAATGAGCAACCTGGGAGCAGGTGTGTACAGAGCAAGAGAGGAAAAGAGCTAGGGAAAAAGGAGAACAAAAGAGGGCAGCAGAGGGCAACAAACAGAAACAAGAACACTGAAAATAACCAGAAAAACACAACAAAATAAGAATTAAACCCTTTAAACTAGAAAACAAGGAGTAAAGCAAAACTGGATACTCAAAAAAAAAAAAAAAAAAAAAAAACAGAACCAAGACTGAAACAGTAACTAGGAATTAACCAGAAAACATAACAAAAATACAAATTAACCCATTTAAACTAGAAAACAAGAAGTAAAGTAAACTGGATACTCAAAAGAAAAACATAACAGAACCAGAACTCTAACAGCGTGTGTTTTTTTTTAAAAATGCACTTATCTGTAGGTATCTAAAATAATTGTGTTTGTTGAGACCAAATTTGGCTTGAAGTTGAGAGAAAGAGGCAAAATTACCACCCATCAACAGGTCACCAATAGTCCCGATGCCTAGATCTTTCCATTGTGTATAACCTGAATCTAAAGTTGAAGGGACAAATGAAGGATTCTTTGCAATTGGCAATAAGGTAGATATAGATTTATTACCAAACTGGGATTTTATTTGTTTCCAAATATGTATACTATTGTGAATGATGTGGATATTGTTGGATGCTAAGCTATCTAAGCGTGTTGGTGACAGAATAAGAGCACCAATGTCATGAGGGCTGCAAACCTCCTTTTGCATTGTAATCCTATCGGATTGTGTAAAATTATGATCTAGCCAAATTGTAATAATGCAAAGCGTAAAATAGTAATAGTAAAATGAAAAATTTGGAAGGGCCAGTCCGTCCCTCCAATTTTGCTTTGCAAAGGTGAGATTTGTTGGCTTCATACAGCGAATTAAAGTCCCTAGTAATCTCTATTCCATCATAGGTGAATTTATTTTTAGCAATTTTAAATGGCATACGTTCCAAAATCGTTGGGTCTTTGAGCTTAATTGGCATCAGTTCCCTCTTAGACCACCTGATTCTGTAACCTGAGAACCTGTCAAACTGAGAGATTGTATCCAGGAGTGTTGGTATAGTACACTGACAATTGGTTATGAACAGTAAAATATCATCCGCATATAAAGAAATTTCATTTATATTCCCTTTGGTAACGTATCCCTGTATAAGGGGGTTGGCACGAATTGATTGTGGGGTTCTAGGGCCAAAGCAAAAAGTAATGGTGTAAGCGAGCAGCCCTGTCTGGTACCCCTATGTAATTGAAATGCAGGAGATAGAGTCTTATTGGTAACAATCCTAGCACAAGGTTTATGATAAAGGATTTTTTTTTACCATTTTTCAAAGTGTTTGCCAAGATCATATCTTCTTAGGGTTGCAAAATAGGTAAGGCCATTCTATTAGAACAAATGTTTGGAGTCGCCCACAAAAAAAGATGACTCAGAATAAAATATTTCCATGAACATATGGAAACAAAAACCCCAGAAATCTGACAAAACTAGGAAAAGCGGATGAACAAAAACAATTGCACCTTTAACTTCATAATTTGTTCTACAAATTTAGTTTTTCTTCTATACTTTTTAAATTTTTGAACAAGGGCAAACACAAACACTTGAGGGCTACAGCACACATACAGTATTTATAGTATTTTACACAGAGCACCAGAGCAGAGTGGCAGCAGAGCAGCAGCAGATCAGTTTAATGCTACGTTCACACCTAAAGCAGCAGAGGCAGCAGAAGCAGTTTACATGAATTGTCAATGGTTGATGTGCATCAAGGTGCAGCAAAAGGTCCTGCAGCGTTTAGAGCAGCAGGAGCAGCGCCTCATGAGCTTCAGACCATCTGAGGCACTTCACCATCAGCAGCTGCTGGAGTTGGAAACATTGAACTAACAAACACTGAACAGTAACAAACAGCTAACATCTCTAATCATAGACAGATAGAGCTGGGCCTGTTTTTCAGTGTTTTGTTATTTTACTCTATTGCACATAATGCACATAACTATGGGCTAAAGTTTTATGGCTATGGAGTGACAGAACCCTATATTTTTTAACATATGTTAGGTTTATTCTTTATACATCATGTGCATTGTTACTTAATTAGCCAGATTAGACAGAGTGTGGCTGTCACTGTGTGTACGGAGGTCGTCGAATCAGGACAGCCTTCGTGTCTTTAAAAATACCGAGGATATGGGCACATCTTGGAGCCGGTCTGATAGAGGAGAGCTATCTGTAATCCTGAGGCATAGAGGCAAGCTGCATATAGGTCAGGGCATTGATGGCGTGTCAGTTTCTGATACGGAAAGCTAAACATCCACATGATGCAACACATAGACTCATGAGCTATAAGAAGCAGGAGATGACCTTGTTCGGGGCTCAATATTTACCGGACGCTTGCGGGCGTGATTTTTGAGCCCACAGCTGTGCAAGCTCCAAGCATTTTCTCTGTCCTGTAACGACCTGATCTGGAATAAGCTCTGTTACTTTTTTACTCCTGTTTTTATAGTCATTTTTATATGATTTTATCCAGTTTGAGTTAAGAGTAGTAAATAACTTGCTCCCAGGAAAAGAACCGGTGGGGAAGTCCCAAGGCGCAACTGCTTTTTAGGGGACATAACTTCCTCATTTAACACATAGAAAGTATTTATGGAGCACTGCCTCTGTTTTCCTACCCCCCCAGTTGGCCTCAGCAGAACGCCACTCATACTGTGCCTTAATCTAGTTTTGCTGCAGTTTTCCTTACTGCCCACTTTCTTCTGGTCAAAGCTTGCTTTACCCTTAGAGCATACATAAGTTTCCTGGTTCATAACAGAAGGATTTCACTCCCCTTCAAACTCTACCTACTGTGACAAATACATATCTAAGCTACAATCAGCATCAGGGGCGTCAGCTGACCCAATACTCTACAGGCCACAAAAAAGTAACGCTTGCATGCTCAGCGTGCAAGCTAAACAATTTTTGGGCAATTATTTATTTTAAAAAAGCATGGGCACGGATAATTATTGCAAGCACGCTAGCAAACATTTTAAAGCAATAGATAGTAGCTTCATCTGGTCTGTCAGCATCCAACATCAGCACCCCAGGCATAACCAGGCGCTGCAGATCCATAACGGTGCATGTGCCCCTGTGAAAAGAGTCTGCTGACGCCGATGATCAACAGCTTTTCTTTGTTTTTGCAGAAACTGAGATGGGCTCCCAACCAGTAAAGGAAACGGTGAGGTGTGTGCAGCTTAGAGTTCTCCTAAATCTTTAGTAGGTCATATTTTCCTGTGTTGCACATCATCAGTAAAATCTGACTGTACAATGTTCTATTTCTAAGTGATGAGAAGAAACCAGATGGTCCTACAGAAGACTTCACCAGTGTTGAGATGCAGCAGTTCCCATCTGATCAAGCTCAGGTATGCATCTTCAGTCACATCATTTCCAATGTAGTTGGAGACACCTTACCTCTAAAAAATCATCTTTTACCAACTTCTTGGAGACATTCATTTCTATTGTCATGGCTTTAAATCTTTGACCTCAGGAACTTTAATGAGAACCGCTCACTACTGTAACGTCTCTCTATAATCTCTATAATAAAGCTAGTCTTCCATTTTCTATTTTTCCATCAAGATTTCCATCAAGAGCAGACAGTAGAACATGAGGCTTTAAGATATTAGTTTTTTTTAGCATGTCCTCTTTAGCCAATCTAGATCTGGGAATAGATGTCCCAGAGTTAGCAGATAGCTAATAGCCCAACAGCTTTGCTTTCAGCAGCAGACCATTATGAACGCCGCCATAAGGCTCCGCTTGATACTTTTATATGAAACTCTATTGAAAATGATTGAGGGAGTAAAATCCTATAAAACTGAGAGAAAACTAGGGGGAGAGAGAGGAATATTGACAGGAAATATTGAATGAAAAGAGAAAGTAAAACTGCATAAATAGAGACAGAACATAAATAGTAACTTTTAGAAGTCTGCTTCCACACCTGGATGAGATGAGAGGGACATAGAAAAGCAGCTTCCAGAGCAGCAGGTATCCCTCAGATATCCATGTGTGGTGATTCCACCATATTAATCAGGGTGGGATAGATCTGTAGGTGCAGCTCAGTAGATACAGTAGTATTAGTGTGAATCCGTGAACACCTGGGATCAAAGAAAAAAATTACTTCACCCTCACTCCTTCACCCTCACTCCTCCACGATTTCCCTGTGCATGGAGAGAAAGATATTCTCTCATTTTCAGGTTTCCACTTTGCAGCAGGAGTCAGGACTTTTGTTATGCTATTCATCACTATGAATGTTTTGTGTAAACAGAAGTATAACTATCAGCAGGAAAACAGGAAGTCCTCCACTAATTGGCTTCAAAAAACAAACTGAATCCTTTTGGGTTCATCTGTGAAAACCTTCCAGTTGTCATGATGGGTCTAATGTGTTTGACCCACATGCAGAAGCACTCACAGAGACTGGAAAAAACTTAAACAGTTTATAGGAGAGATAACTGTACAAAGACTAGGAAAAAAACGGAAGCGGAAGCTCTAGGAGGCGATCAGAGTGGTAAGTTCAAGGACTGTGCAAATACTGGCTGATTGTCTGAATACAAGGTTTGACTTGGACTCACTGAGGTTGTTTGGGAGGGTTCCAAAGTTCCAGTTTGTAGAGGCTTGATCTGTAGAAGGAGGGCGGACAGGCAGACTATGGTGGTCCTGAGGAGCAGCTGAGCAGACTGATACAAAGTTCCTGAAGTGAATGACGATCGGAAGAGGAGATCGGTGTCCTATTCTCAGTGTCTCTTTCAAGACTAGAAGGGCCTGGCTTATCCAGTTGATCAGTAATATCTTGCCGGAGAATCAAAAGACAAAACTTGGTTAGCGCTGAGAGCTCAGAAGAAACAGGGACTCAAAGTTAGACTCTGCAAACTCTGAGGGGCTAGAGTACCCAATACTGGCAAACACTCTTGCGAGGAAGTGAAGACAGTCTGCTCCTTAAATACTCCTCAGGAAGTGATGACCCAATAGGCTGCAAGTAGAGCAAGGAGAACAATGGCACCATCTGGTGGTTGCACTGTGGAACTGCAAGAGAACAAACACAAACTGGAACCCTAATACCAGTTTGGCTTAATTCAAACAATTGTGTAAAGCAGAGTGGGCCATGGACTGATCCCTTTTACACAGAGGGTCATATTTTCTTCATAAAAAAATCCTTGTTTGAAACATCATCTTAGCTTTGATGTATTTAAAGGAGACATGTGGGTAAAAGAGGAAGAGATTTGTAAGGGGAAAGATAGGTTTGGACAGAAGTGTAGTTTTGGTACAGCTTCCATTGCTACCTGTCATGGTTTATTTCCCTCCATTTGTTCCCTTAAAGGTTGCAGTGTGTGTCTCTGCTAATGTCAGGAAGAGTGAACGGGACCGAATGATGTACAAGGCGATGAGCATGGGCGTCGCCTACGCAGCCAACATCGGTGGAATCAGCACGCTGCCAGGAACTTCTCCTAACCTCATCTTCTCTGAGTATCTCAACCAGTGGGTGACAGCTGTTTATATATGATATCATACGCATTCATCTTTTGTATATGAATGGAAATAAACTCCAGCGCATGTTTACATTCAAACTGTTGACCTCTCTTCACCTTCAGGGTTTACCCAGAATGCAACTGTATCAACTTTGGGAATTGGCTCCTGATGTGCTTTCCTATCAGTGTAATCATGATCTTTCTTACATGGATATGGCTGTACTGGTTGTTCCTGGGCTCAGAGTGAGTGTCAAAGAATGCATTTATTAAATCATTATCGCAAGAAATCCTCAGATTTACTCCCAGATTTATACAGTTCAGGTCAACAAAGGTCACATGGTGCAAAGCACAGAAAAGGAGAGTTACTGCAGCTTTTGGCTTATGTGGTGCACAGAGCGCTTTGCTTCCCCACAGTTTAGATGGTGACAGGAAAATAAACCATCACACTTCAAAACATAGTTAGCCATTCTTGTCCTGCAGCACTTCCCAAACTTCACAAGACTCAATATCGACATCATCAAGCCCAACTGATCCCAGCCTGTCGTTGGCCAAGCTGACTAGTGGAAGGGGTGGCATACATGGCAGACTGAATGCACACAGCAGGAACTATGAATAACTCCTGAGTCACTACATGAGTCTTTCTCTGAAATACATGCAGTCTCAGCAGTTGACATATTGAACACAGGTCCTCTAGTTTCCCTCAGACCAGAGTTCAGAAGAATTATTTCCAAAGCAGGTGAGTTTGGTTTGACCGGAGCCAAATCATGCCAAACTCAATCTCAGAAAGGCAGTAGGAAGTAGTGATATGGCTCAAATTATCACAGACTATAGTCTGTAGTCGACAATTCTTAGCTGAACATCACATGATATCCACTCATGACATCATGGCATTTATTTACCAGCAATATGTCTTATTAAAAATTAACGAAATGTGAAATAGTTTTTCCCTCATTTTACAACAAGAAGAGAAAAGTTAGCTGAAGTTGTCAGACTCTATAAAGCTAAAGATTACTGTGGTTTTCTGAGCAGACTTAAATCATTGTATCTATATTTAACTCTTATCATTTTCAGGTTTACACAGCTGAACATAGGAAAGCATCCAACCCATTCCTCCCAGTAAAAACCTCCTCACTGTCTCTACAGCTTTAGCTTCCTGTGGCAGTGCAAAGGGGGTCAATCAGAAAGAGAGAAGGCTGCACGAGGTGTCATAGAAGAGGAGTACAGGTCACTGGGACCCGTTAGGTGATTACTCTTTTATTCATAGATCCATTCTTTATGCCTTTTAAATCCACCGTGTCTCATAACAATACTTGCAGTTAGTGAAGTGTAACTCTGATATATTTCTGCCATTTTGTCCTTCTAGCCCTCAGGAGATTTTCACTGGCATCATTTTCGTGGTGATGGTGCTGTTGTGGTTAACCAGATCTCCAGGCTTCATGCCAGGCTGGGCTTCTCTCTTCCCTGAGTAATTCACACTTAAACAAACTTTTGTCACAAAAGTTCACTGACACCACAACTTATCAAGCTTCACGGTTACCTTAATGCTGAAGTTTTTCTCTTGTTTCTGGAACCCAGTTTAGTTAAGTTCAGTTTAGATCAATGCCACCTCAGTCGATCGAGCCACTGGGTCTTATGCAAGAACCGTTCTTACAAACAAGTTTCTTCTTAAATCGTTCATATGAGTGAATTAGGATAGTCTCCATTTTCCTCCTGTCTCTAATCGTCTCTTAGGTAGAAACTAATTCTCCTCCAGAATGATGTCGAAGTCTAATTACATCAGTCAGCTGTTAGTTTCTCTTTAGAAGCAATCATCCATTTTTTCAGATTGTATCATTATATATTCTGCAGCTCTACAATTTTAATGCCATTTCATTGGCTGATAATAGCTGGCAGGAATCATCCGTTAACATCTGGATGTTTGGCTCTGAATTCATATGTTAACATCTGGATATTTGGCTCTGAATTCATCTATTAACATCTGGATGTTTGGCTCTGAATTCATCTATTAACATCTGGATGTTTGGCTCTGAATTCATCTGTTAACATCTAGATGTTTGGCTCTGAATTCATCTGCTAACGTCTGGATGTTTGGCTCTGAATTCATCCGTTAACATCTGGATCTTTGGCTGTAAATTAATCCGTTAACGTCTGGATGTTTGACTCTAAATTAATCCGTTAACGTCTGGATGTTTGACTCTAAATTAATCCGTTAACGTCTGGATGTTTGACTCTAAATTAATCCGTTAACATCTGGATCTTTGGCTGTAAATTAATCCGTTAACGTCTGGATGTTTGACTCTAAATTAATCCGTTAACGTCTGGATGTTTGACTCTAAATTAATCGGTTAACATCTGGATCTTTGGCTGTAAATTAATCCGTTAACATCTGGATCTTTGGCTGTAAATTAATCCGTTAACATCTGGATCTTTGGCTGTAAATTAATCCGTTAACGTCTGGATGTTTGACTCTAAATTAATCCGTTAACGTCTGGATGTTTGACTCTAAATTAATCCGTTAACGTCTGGATGTTTGACTCTAAATTAATCCGTTAACATCTGGATCTTTGGCTGTAAATTAATCCGTTAACGTCTGGATGTTTGACTCTAAATTAATCCGTTAACGTCTGGATGTTTGACTCTAAATTAATCGGTTAACATCTGGATCTTTGGCTGTAAATTAATCCGTTAACATCTGGATCTTTGGCTGTAAATTAATCCGTTAACATCTGGATGTTTGGCTCTGAATTCATCCGTTAACATCTGGATGTTTGGCTCTGAATTCATCCGTTAACATCTGTGAGAGATGGAGAGCAGATGATATTGTTTTAATTTTTTTATTTTACAGTGCAACCACAGCATTTACTGCTCTCCCAATCTATTCCCCGCTGCTCGACCTTTCACTGCTCTTCTGATTATGCTGCATAGCAGTCATTCAGCATGACCTTTATCTGTGAAGCTTTAAAGTTTTTCTCCCTCTTGGTAAATGGCCCTTTACTAGGGGTGTAAATCACACCCATCATGGCGATTCGATTCAGTATCCATTTCCTAACCCAACGATTCGAGTATTTTCGATACTCAAGAATACACCACGATACGATACGATTCGATTAATTGGTTCATTTTTTTTTTTTTTGGCTGTAAATTAATCCGTTAACATCTGGATCTTTGGCTGTATATTAATCTGTTAACATCTGGATGTTTGGCTCTAAATTAATCCGTTAACGTCTGGATGTTTGACTCTAAATTAATCCGTTAACATCTGGATCTTTGGCTGTAAATTAATCCGTTAACATCTCGATCTTTGGCTGTAAATTAATCCGTTAACGTCTGGATGTTCAGCTCGGAATCATCCGTTAACATCTAGATGTTTGGCTCTGAATTAATCTATTAACACCTAATGTTTGGCTCGGAATCATCCGTTAACATCTGGATCTTTGGCTGTAAATTAATCCGTTAACGTCTGGATGTTTAACTCTAAATTAATCCGTTAACATCTGGATCTTTGGCTGTAAATTAATCCGTTAACATCTGGATCTTTGGCTGTACATTAATCCGTTAACGTCTGGATGTTTGACTCTAAATTAATCCGTCAACATCTGGATCTTTGGCTGTAAATTAATCCCTTAACATCTGGATCTTTGGCTGTAAATTAATCCGTTAACGTCTGGATGTTTGACTCTAAATTAATCCGTTAACATCTGGATCTTTGGCTGTAAATTAATCCGTTAACATCTGGATCTTTGGCTGTAAATTAATCCGTTAACATCTGGATGTTTCACTCTGAATTCATCCGTTAACGTCTGGATGTTTGGCTCTAAATTAATCCGTTGACATCTGGATGTTTCACTCTGAATTCATACATTAACACCTGATGTTTGGCTCGGAATCGTCCGTTAACATCTGGATGTTTGGCTGTAAATTAATCCCTTAACATCTGGATCTTTGGCTGTAAATTAATCCGTTAACGTCTGGATGTTTGACTCTAAATTAATCCGTTAACATCTGGATCTTTGGCTGTAAATTAATCCGTTAACATCTGGATCTTTGGCTGTAAATTAATCCGTTAACATCTGGATGTTTCACTCTGAATTCATCCGTTAACGTCTGGATGTTTGGCTCTAAATTAATCCGTTGACATCTGGATGTTTCACTCTGAATTCATACATTAACACCTGATGTTTGGCTCGGAATCGTCCGTTAACATCTGGATGTTTGGCTCTGAATTCATCCGTTAACATCTGTGAGAGATGGAGAGCAGAAGATATTGTTTTAATTTTTTTATTTTACAGTGCAACCACAGCATTTACTGCTCTCCCAATCTATTTTCCCGCTGCTCGACCTTTCACTGCTCTTCTGATTATGCTGCATAGCAGTCATTCAGCATGACCTTTATCTGTGAAGCTTTAATGTTTTTCTCCCTCTTGGTAAATGGTCCTTTACTAGGGGTGTAAATCACACCCATCATGGCGATTCGATTCAGTATCCATTTCCTAACCCAACGATTCAAGTATTTTCGATACTCAAGAATACACCACGATACGATACGATTCGATTAATTGGTTCATTTTTTTTTTTTACCTTACAGGCTAGATAGTGTTTCAAATTTGAAATAAATCAATTAAAGCTGTAACTAGACCCACGGTGTATAGCGCAGACCACACTTCAATATTTGGCATAATCAAAAATGTCTGTGTCAAGCTCACTGCGACACACTACTGTGGCAAGTGTAACCAGGAAGCGAGGAAGGAGGGTTTAGTGCCACCGCAGCACGGGAGGGAGAATTACGTCCAGGATCAATTAAATGAAAATAGACCGGAGGAAAAAGAAAAAAACATGAGTCGCTACTCTTGCGGACATGTTGATGCATCGGATCAGTTTATCGATGGATCAATATAAAATGATTATTTAGACCCTTACCCTGTACTTATAAAGCCATTTTTTAAGCCAGAGGACTTGACCAAAGTGCTTTACAATACGTTCAGAAATTCACCCACACACTGATGGTGGTGAGTTATATACTAGCCACAGCTGCCCTGGAGCTAACTGACAGAAGCAAAGTTCAATGTCACTCCCACCTGAGTGAACACCTGTGTGTTCATTCAGGTGGGAATTCAAAGCCTTATATGGAATTATCAGGGTGGTAATTATGCAGATTTACATTTATCCTGAACCCACCTCACATACACTCTGGTGGACTGCATCGGATTTAAAAGGAAATTTTATGATCATTTGCTGAAGTTAGGAGCATTTGTTGAATCTGAGGTTTCACATTTTCAAAAGCCCCCAATAGGAGAAAAATTAAGAGAAATATACGCCAAGAATATGAAAATGTTCCATGAGGGCCATTGTTCCACGGAACAGAGATAGAAAATAGTGTCAGAACGATTATTCGTCAAGTTCCACTTAAGTCACAAACTGCTTGGAACTGAAAACATTTTCCCATAATACCTGGATCATCTTAAAACAAACATTAAAAATGCTGTATTTATTTCTAACCCCGTTCATTTATTTTTTCTTCATTCCGACAGTCACACCGGCTACATCACAGAGGCTACTGTGGCCCTGGTGCTGGGTCTCTTATTTTTCATCGTTCCCACCCATGGACCCGACAAGAAATATGGTAACAGCACTTAATGTTGACATAAACTTGATTTGTTTTTATATTTAATGATCTTCTTTAAATATTATAAAAAGAAAAAGATTTACTTTTGCACTCTGCAGCACTGCTCAGCGACACAGAAGAGAGAGAAAGTGAAGCAGATTCTTTAAAATTTATAACTGCACTATCTGACAATGATCTACTAAAATTGAACCTTCTTATGGGGGAGGAGAACTCTGTTAAGGTAATCAGATTAGATTAGATTAGATTAGGTGAGCTTTATTGATCTCACAGCGAAGAAATTCACTGGTCACATATTGGCATAGTAATTAAAGAAGGTTCAAACAAGGAGGAAAACGGTGCATTAAGAATAAACAATATATATACAGTATATCAAGATAAATAAGGATTAAGGTGCAAGTGTACATGTATCACACACAATGAAAAACAAAATGAAAATAAGAAATAAAAAAATAAAAAATACAAGGGAGTAGCACAGAGATTTGAGGTGTCATATGTACAATCCGTATGGCTTATATACTGGTGGATTTACTTTATTTTACGTTACAGTGTAGTAGGTAAGGAGCAACGGTGAGGTAGTGGTATGACTATTCTATTCACATATATTGCACAGTCAGCATATAGCACAGAATGTTGCACAGTCAATAGATAAAAAAAATTATTACAGCTGCACAGTGGTTTTTACAGGAGTTATTGTGGTTATAGTGCATTACTATAGAGTCTGGTGGCAGCAGGAATGAATGACCTGCGGTAGCGCTCCTTCTTACAGACAGGGTGTTTAAGTCTTTCAATAAAGGAGCTGCTCAGCTCCTCTACCGTCTGGTGCAGGGGGTGAGAGGTGTTGTCCATGATGGATGTGAGTTTGGACAGAATCCTCCTCTTAGCCACCTCCTCCCCCAGAGGGCAGCCCAGGACAGAAGTGGCCTTTCTCACCAGCTTATTCAGTCTCTTTCTGTCCCACTCTGTGCTGCCAGGGGCCCAGCAGACGACAGCGTAGAGGAGGGCTGAGGCCACCACAGAGTCAGAGAAGGTTTTAAGGATGGATGTTCATGGGGGGTGGGGTGGTGGTGTTCTCCTGAAGTCGATCACCATCTCCTTTGTCTTACTGGTGTTCAGAGACAGATGGTATCTCTCACACCAGTCCACAAAGTCCATGATGACCGACCAGTATTCCAGCTCGTTCCCCTCAGACACACAGCCCACAATGGCCGAGTCATCGGAGAACTTCGGGAGGTGGCAGCTGTCTGTGTTGTAGGTGAAGTCCGAGGTGTAGAGAGTGAAAAGAAATGGAGACAGGATGGTGCCCTGCCGCACGTACTGAGGATGGTCAGTGAGGTAGTTGGTGGTCCAGACAGCTAGATGCTTGTCCACCCCAGCGTCCTCCAGCTTCCCCCTCAGCAGCACCTGACTGATGGTGTTGAAAGCGCTGGAGAAGTCAAAGAACATGACTCTCACAGCGCTCCCAGTGGTCTCCAGGTGGGTGAGCGCCTGCTGCAGCAGGTAGATGATGGCGTCGTCTACTCTGCTGTTGGGCCGGTAGGCGAACTGCAGTGGGTCCAGGGTGGGGCTCACCACAGTGCAAAGGTGGGCAAGGATGAGGCGCTCCATGGTCTTCATCAGGTGAGAGGTCAGGGTGACTGGTCTGAAGTGGGCCGGGTCCCTGCTGTGTGGCGTTTTGGTAACCAGAACCACACAGGAGGTCTTCCACAGAGTGGGGAACACCCCCAGGCCGAGACTCAGGTTGTACATGTAGCTGAGGACCTGACAGAGCTCATCTGCACAGGTCCTGAAGGTTATTAGAAAGTGATCAGAGATGACAGGGTTGTAAGGAAATACTGTTATTTCTTCACATTCTATGCCATATGACAGCACAAGATCCACTATATGAAGATGAAAATGTGTGGGACTATTCACATTTTGAACAAAGCCAATAGTGTCTAAGATAGCATTAAAGGCTGCTCTTAAGCTATCGCCTTCAATGTCAGTATGGATGTTAAAATCTCCCACTATGATGACCCTGTCAGTGTTTAATACCAAATCAGAAAGGAACTCTGAAAACTCATCTAAAAATTCAGAGAAAGGACCTGGTGGACGATACAAAGTTACAAAAAGAAGAGGTTTTCTGGCTTTGCAATTTGGATGAGGGAAACTAAGGGTTAAATGTTCAAAAGAGTTGTAGGTATTAACTGCCTTGGGAGTAATCAGTAAGTCAGACTGGGAGATTGTTGCTACTCCTCCTCCTCGCCCAGAACTTCTGGGGATGTGAAAATTTAAATAGCTTGAAGGAGTTGCCTCATTTATGCTCACATAATCCTCTTGCTGCAGCCAGGTTTCTGTGAGGCAAAACAAGTCAATGTGATTATCACAAATCAAGTCATTAACTAGTAGACTTTTAGAGGAAAGAGATCTTATGTTAAACAGACCACATTTAATCTTTTTTACTTTTTCCCCAATTGGAGTTATTTTGATTTTAATTAGATTATCATGATTTACTCCTTTGGGAATATTTGCTAATTTATTAGATTTTGGTCGTGGGCAAGACACTGTCTGGACGGAGTAAAGAGTGGGTAACAATAGAGAAGCTGCAGAGATGTGTGTTAAACTACAACTCTGCTTCCTGGTCTGCACCCTGGGGGGGTCAGGGTTTTGGAGGACTAATAAATGGGGCAAGATTCCTAGAAAGAAGAGCTGCACCATCCAAAGTGGGATGGATGCCGTCTCTCCTAATCAGAACAGTCCAGGTGAAAGTGTCTGCGATGTGCACCCCCACGAATTTGGTGCTGCTGACCACCTCTACAGCTGAGCTGTTGATGAGCAGTGGATCGTGGTTAGGACGGTTCTTCCTGAAGTCCACCATGATCTCCTTCATCTTCTCCACCTTCATGATCAGGCTGTTATCTCTACACCACCAGCTGCTCCACCTCCTCTCTGTAGTCCAGGTCGTCTCTGATGAGGCCCACCACCGTGGTGTCGTCTGCAAACTTCACCATGTGATTGGTGGTGAACCTGGGGATGCAGTCATGTGTTATTAGAGTGAACAGCAGGGGGCTCAGGACGCAGCCCTGAGGGGAGCCTGTGCTTAGACTGATGACATCAGAGGTGTTCTGTCCAACCCGGACTGACTGAGGTCTGTTGGTGAGGAAGTCTATCAGCCAATAGCAGAGGGGTGTATTGAATACCAGCTGTTCCAGTTTGCCCATCAGATGCTGTGGGATGAGGGTGTTGAAAGCTGAACTGAAGTCCAGGAACAGCATCCGCACCTGGGTGTTCTTCTCCTCCAGGTGTTCCAGGCTCAGGTGGAGAGCAGCAGAGATGGCGTCCTCAGTGGAGCGGTTCCGACGGTTCAAGTTGGCACACGCTGTCCTCTGAGCCTCTCTGTCACCAGAAGCAGAGTTCCGTGCTTTTAGTGGTTTCTGAACCTCCCCATTCATCCAGGGTGGTTGGTTGGCCCGGTGGTGATGTTCTTTGTGATTCTAACCTCAATGCATTTGTTAATGCATCTATATTGATCTTATTGTCAGAAGTCACTATTGCTTTGAACATGTTCCAGTCAGACCATTCAGAACAGTCCTGAAGTTTTTCTATGGCCCCCTCATTCCATACTCTGACCTGCTTTATTGTTGGTTTAGCCCTGATGAGCTGGCCTGATGGCTTATAGTATTGTCCGGTATCGATAAATGAAGCAATGACTCAGTCAGGATGATGGTGCAGCAGTTACTAAGCTCCTTATTTGAAGAGAGTTCCAGTCAGAGCTTATCCATCTGTTATCTAGTGAGCAGACGAGCAGGATTGATTAGATCGGGGCTCCGTGGTAATTCATTCTTAGCTTTTCCGTTAGCCTGCATCTGCAGCCCCTCTTTCGTCACCTACCACACTGCATCCTCCGGCCTTCTCTTCAGCATTACCTGCTCCATGAGCCTGCTTTATTTTCATCCATATGTAGCACTCCGCAGCTTTTTAAAAGGTCAAGAGTAGCTCTATTTAAAACATTTCATGAGTGTAGCTCTAGCAGGCGTTGGCAGTCATAGATATGGGATCGATGCCTGGTTTAAAGCGTTGAAGTGTTGAAGCATTGTGCCTACAGGTGCTTCCATGATCAGAAAATCTGAGGATTGACAATGATTATTAATCTTTCTCCTAGCAGCCTACAATAGACATTCAATGTAGATTCTCCTAGAAACATAGCTTTTCCACCATCTACATGTTAACTGTACAGAGAAACACTGTTTTCATCAAAAATAGATTAATAAAACAATCATTGAGCCTAAATTAAGTAATCATCAACAAAGCATGTCCATATTTAATATTAAGTAATAGCTAATTTTTGCTATGGAAATATGTATGAAAAAAATTGTTTTTTGCAAATTGTATAAAACTAAACCTCGTTTTTTTCTCTGTAAACGCAGAGGCCATGATCACCTGGGAGGAATTTCGCTCCTCGATGCCATGGATGGTTGTCCTGCTGGTTGGTGGAGGATTTGCACTCGCTGAAGGAACAAAGGTTGTCTTTACATTTCTAAATGAAACTTATACCTCATACATTCATCACTATGTGTAGCAGCACGAAAAAAATTGTGACATTAAGGAAATTCAGTTTATTTAGCGCAATTTCACAATTTCACCATTCAACCAGATCATCCAGTCAGATTGATTCAAAGTTTTCAATTTAAGGAAAACCAGCTGATTGCATCGACTCATTGACTCTTCAGCAATCCCTCATACTAAGCATGCTTGTAGCGACAGTGGAGAGGAAAAACTCCCTTTGAAGAGGAAGAAACCTCCAGCAGAACCAGGCTCAGTGTGAGCGGGCATCTGCTGAGGCCAACTATGAATTAATGCCCTACTTTATACATAAGTTTCTCACAAAAGTTGAAAAAATAGCAGATCTAGTTCAACACATCATATTGGTTAATATGGCAGACAGAATAGCTAACAAAATGTCCAATAAAGGAATGGGTTTAGACATCCAAGGTTTCCATCCCAAAGCAAACACTTTCTGATCTACTATTATTTGCTATTATTATGCATTAAACACAGATCAATAAAATCTGCATTACTCCAAAAAAAGCAAAGAACACAAACATTCTTCTTTTTACTTTGGCAAATTTGGCTTTATTTCTGAGAATGTACCCCTCGGTTCCTGCTGTCAGGGGTCAAAGTAGATTTAAATTCACAGGGTTTGATATAAAAAAAATACAGAGAGAATCTACCTAAATGCCTTATAACGCCATGGCAACCCAGACCTAAACTGAATGGATATGCCACTAAAATGTTTAAATATTTAAAGGAAACAGAGAAACTGTTTTAATTAAAATACAAGAAAACATTTAAAAGAAAACATGATACTGCTTGGGAGATCACAGCACAATGATGCAGTTTAAACATCTGACAGAAAACCCGCTAACATTTGTATTTAGTCTTGTCTTGTCCACGAAAACTCATACCTATGAGTAGTCATGTTTTAGTCATCAAAGATCCATGTTTAGCTTGTCAGTTTTCATTATTGTCATGAAAATATTGAGGGTCGAATTTTGTTGTTGTCATCTAAAACGTCAATGAATCAATTTTCCTTCGATTGAAAACTTGGAAGCAATCTGACTGGATGATCTGGTTGAATTGTCTCTGGAAAGTGACCTGAGATCACATGATGTGAATTGGATCTATAGAAATAAACTGAATCGAATTGAAAGGAAAACTCATAAAATGGCCGCCCCTACACCACGTTACCACAATAAGTCATCCAAGGGCTCACAATGCTATCAGCTCACCTTTAGCACATAAAGTAATTTAATGCTCCATGTAAACCCAGAGGGTGGTCTCCTCATGCCTGATTTCTTTTTAAAAGGTTGTCTGTGTGCAGGAAATTGCTGGTTTGATCAGTGAGTTAAGAATGACAGGAAGACTTGGAGAGATTAGCCTGTCTTTAGAGTTTTATGAACAATCTGTACTGATGAAAGCTACTGTGTGTTTCTGCAGGTGTCTGGCTTGTCCGTGTGGGTGGCTCAGCTGATGACGCCTCTGGGGGATCTGCCAGTCTTGGCCACCATCACAGTGGCCTGCATCATTGTAACCACGCTAACAGAGGTGGCCAGCAATGCTGCGACCACCACCATTTTCCTCCCCATTCTCTCTCCCCTGGTAGGTTATTGATGTAGGAACATGTGTTGGTTAGGATTTAGTATACTAGGTATGATATTAGCTCTTGATAGTCATATTTTATTTCTATAGCAGGTGGTTTTATACACCTTTGACAAAAAATATTATGTAGAAGAAAAGAAAGATGCTAACATTGAAGCAAATTCAAACAATCCAACATGGACGGAAGTTGGATTAAAACCCTCAGTCATGATTTCACATTAAAATGCTACAGTTTAAATGAAAATAAGTTTCACTCTTAATACCGTTACTATCCGTCTCAGGCTTTAAAACAACCAGTAATTTCAAGAGTTTAAAAATAGTAATTTTATTACTGTATACAGTTTAACCGGTTCTAAAATTTATTAAGGATTATTGTCCTGTTAGAACACCTTACAGGTTTTTGCCAAGTGAATTAGAAAAATTTGATGACAGTTATTGTTCAATGCCCCCCCATCGTGGAAAGCTCCAGTAGAAAAACAGCAATCCCTGCTTTGTAGGATGATACTATCACTTCTTGGATTATTCTGCTGTGTTTGGGGTTTAAAAGACTCACTTTATTCCTTTAAAGTCTAGTCAAGCTTTGACAAGTAATTGAATATTTGGTTTCATCAGACTATTAACTTTTCTCCAGATGAAATAAAAGTTTTGCCTTAAACTGCAGATTTCAGATCTGTTACCGATCACTCCCAGAGAGTTTTGCCTGGTCAGCACTCCCCATCCATGTTCCCATGGCAGTTTCAGATTCATAGCCGTCTTGAGTTTTGTTGGTTTCTGAGTTTTTCCTAATAATTCCAGCCTAATGTTACTTACATGTGAGGAACAAAGGCAGGTAATTGAAACTTGTACACAAATAGAAGTTAAAGCTACTGCTTAAACTTATCCCCCCACCCAAAAAAAATGATTCCAAAAGTATACCCAAACTTATACCCAAAGTTTAGATCTGGTCGCTTTTGACAAGAATTTGTCAGTGGTTCCTCCGTGCTCAAACTTTCAGTACCTGACAGTATTTACAATCTAATCTCTCCTCAGAATGTAAAGATGGTTTGAAATAAAGAAAAGCAAATTAAATCTGATCTTAGTGATTTAATTTAAATAGAATAAGCATCAATACAATTACTACACTGGCGCCACCTTGGCTGTGAAGCACAATGCCTTTTATAAAAAGTGTTTTTTTTTTTCCAAAAGTAAAACCCATGACAAAATCGTGGTATTCCAGTCGCCCGAACACGTAACTGATGCCAGATTAGGACATGAGAGGTTGGGGCTACACTACATACCCACATACCCTTTTGACCTAAAGCTAGCAGACTCTACCCATGAAAACAAACTTGGTCTTAACATATTGCAATGTACTGACAGACCCTAAAAACACAAAGATATGGTAACTCTTTCACTGATTATTACCCTGAACATGCTAACATTACAAAAGCAAGTGGGTCCCACATTTAGATACTTGGAAGACAGCATCAGGCCAGAAATGCCCCCTCTACATGCAACTAAAATTTGTTTACTGGCTATAAGCTTCATGTGTTTTCCCAATGAAAAAATCGGGGGGTTGGAACCTTATTAGCTTCTTTAGACCTTGCTTATGAAGCAATCAAGCCACCAGCTAGTCATACAAAGGAATTTGTTTATAAGGACTCTTTAGTCATATTCTGGATTACTGTTATGGAAAGTTGATGCGTCTTCAAAGATCAGGGCATCTTAGCATCTCAGGTCTGTAGCAGAAAGTGTCCTCTTCTCTCAGATGAAAGCCTGATGTTTGGATTTCCTGTAAACTTAAAGAGAAAGGTTTTAGCCAGTCTGTTTTGTCTGGTTTTGATACTACCAACAGGCCCACTACCAACATGGCCTTTCATTAATTCGTTCTTTCTAACATAGCTGGCCTGAGAAAACCATGAAGCAGCTGCTTTGTCCCCAAGAAGAGTAGGGGGAGGATCACACATCCCTGTGGGAGTGTCTTTTGATTGTCTTGTAAGAGGGAGATTTGCAGCATTTTGAGGCAATAGTACAGTAGAGCAAAACTTCATCTTCCTGTATCATCAATTTAATTCAGTTCAGTTTATTTATATAGGGCTAATTCACATCTCAAGGTACTTTAAAGACAACTAATCCGTTCATGCAGTCAGATTGTTAACATGTTTTGTCTATATTCTGTCATGGTTTTATCTAAGGCTCTGACCCACATGCAGTGAAGCCTAACAGAGAGACACAGAGTAAAAGTTTAAAAGAGTTTTATTGAAAGGTATTTAAAGTTCGGTGCAGAGTTCCTCAGAACTCTGCTCGGCCGGGAAACTGAAAGACGAGGGGAAGACAGACTGTTAGGTTCAGGCTCAGTGGGGAATTGGAGTTGTTTATCTTGAAGGAGAGGATTGGTTGCCACTCAAGTTTCCAGAGAAGATGAGACACGTAGACTCCAGTCTGTGTGTTGGTCTTCCAGAGTTTGTTTGATTCAGTGGAGGGCGGAACAGGGTTTACCCAGAATTCGGATGGAATGACGCAGCAGCTGGTTGCAACTCAGTTTTCCTGTGGTACTTGAACGGGTCATGGTGAAGAGGACTTCCTTACTCAGAGAGTGATCTCAGCGTGCTCAAAGGTGGCTGGAATCCGTCGCTCAGTGTAAGACTCAGTTGAAGCCACTTGGGAGAAGGCGGTCCGAAAAGGTCCAGTTTGCAGGAAGGCTTCCTGCTGAAAGGCAAAGAACAAACAAAGTTGAGACTCAGGTAGAAACAAGCGCTCAGTAAAACTCAATATGATCTCAGCTTGGTTAGAGGACAAAAACTCAAAGTGCAAAAACTCAGATTAGACTCAGCATAAACAAGGCTTGGCTAGAGTACCCCAAACTGGCAAACACTCTGGCATTGAAGTAGTGGCAACCAGCAGCTTAAGAGCAGTCCGGTGATGAGGCAACAGCTTGCAGGTGTGTGAGGAGGCGAACCAGAGCCAGGCGCCTCCTGGTGGTGGAAGGGAGAAACACAAAAGACAAGACAAACAGAGGAACACAAAAACTGGGATCCTGACATATTCAAGGTTGAGCAGCCTGGACATGGGCCCAAAATATTCTAAATTAATATTATGGCTTGCAGCATTACAAGGTCAATATGATAAACCTATTCCCGAATGTTTGCATTTGCTCTTTTTCAGGCTGAGGCTATCCATGTGAACCCGTTATATGTGCTCATCCCTACCACACTCTGCATATCCTTTTCCTTCCTGCTGCCAGTGTCGAATCCACCCAATGCTCTTGTTTTCTCCTATGGACACATCACCATAATGGACATGGTAAATCCTGAAGAAAGAAATATGGAAAGAGCCCCTGGCATTCTATGCACCAAATAGCATTAAGATTATATGAAATGTATTTATACTTTACTGTGGTTTCTGTTGCAGGTAAAGGCGGGTATTGGTGTCAATGTGATTGGAGTTCTAACGGTCATGATGGGCATAGCGACATGGGGGATTCCCCTCTTTTCTCTTGACACATACCCAGACTGGGCACCAGTTCATCCAGCCTTCAACACCACGATACCTTAATTAAAGGTCCAGCACATTTTTACTGTGCAAGTGAAGCTGCTCTAAATGATAAGAAGGGAAGTCGTAAATGGTCCTTTATGATTCCATCATACAGAGCTAGTGAATATGTATTTTATAGATTTCCTCTGTGTTTGCTTTTTGTCACAGTTTGATATTTTAGAAATAAATTCTAAGGGCTGAAAGCAGAACTTTAAAGGTCAGACAGCAACTAAATCTAAAAATGACATAATAGCAAATCGTCCTCAAGCATCTTGCTGAGTGACAAACTAAGTTTATTTTTTTAAGCAATTAAGCATAAAAATAAAAGTATAAAACAAGCTTTTGAATCATCTCCGTCTGGTGTATTTCTTTGTCTATAACAGGTTTTCTTTTTCTTACTCTATTCTGAGTCACGCTGAAGAGCTCTGCTTTGTAGAGAAACTACACGTACTTTAGAGTGACATGTTTGATATCTTTCTCGAGGGAAGGGCTTGAGGTACCCTAAAAGCAGATTCTGGAAAACCATTTCATTTCCTGTTAAAGAAAAAGCTACTAAAATGTGCCATTATGGATGATAAGTTGTTGTGTTACACTTCTGAAATAGACACATGACATTTTGCACCAAAACTGGCTTTGTAAATACTTTTAACTTCAGTGGTCCATTTTAAAGCTCAAACCAATGTGGATCTATGCTCTAGTCTTAAGAAAGCCTACGTCCAGTTTGGCAATCAAACAGGAAGTAAACTAGAAGTAATGTTTTGATTTCTTTTTGTAAATCTATCACCCCAATTTTTATTCAGCTAGCTTTTCTGAGACATTTATTTGACAGATGATTTGCTACCTATGTTTTTTTTTCAAGTAAAAACTAAAAAATAATAGAAATACAAATAAAACAATAAAGCTCTTTTTGGCTAAGAGCAAAACTCTGCTATAACATTCAAGGCCAAACTGGTCTAACAAAGAACACCCTATGTGGAATTTACTACTAAATACCAACCAGCTGCCTTTATTCCAATAAACCCTAATTTAGTATATAGTAGGAATGAACAATTCATTGCTATTGCAGTATAAAAATGAACAATTAACAAAATGCATTTTTTAACTGCAGAGGCAGTCAATTCTGGTCATATTATATTTAATAAGAATCAAATTCATCCCTTCAGATTAGGTAGCAATAAAATGCTTCAGGTGCGTCTACCATAGAGAGAGAAAAGAGAAGTAACCAAATTTCAGTCTGAAAAACTCACGCACAGATAAAAAACAGTTAGAAGACATTTATTGATATGATTACTTGGTCTTTGGCGCTCAGACATCAGCATGAAACATAGCACTTAATTTTGATAGATATCCCCTTGAACCCTACGGACCCACCGGCGGGTCCAGCTGCTACATGACCTCGTAGTTTTACCAAACCCCCAGTATTGATGTAAAAAACATATTTGGCACAGTTTGGTGACATTTATGGATAAATGTGCCAAAATGGCCTCTCCGCCTAAGAAATTTCTCACTAATACCATTCTAAAATAAATATGATTCATCTGATTGAGTCCAAATTTGGTTTATTTTTACACAACATTTAGATTTTAAAGTCTGTACTACTTTTTTGTGCTATAAATAATATTTTGGTAGTGTTTTGCAATGTTTATTTCAAAGAAAATTTTGGCGAGGTTCAAAAAATGCAAAATATTTTGTATTTTGTCCCTAATATTTCAGGCAGGGTCAAAGCTACAATGGTGCTGACACCAGAAAACCATTCTATGACATCTTACCTTTACAGACGTACCAAAACTTTCTTCTTAAATCTAATAGCTTTGAGGCTATAAGTGATTTACTTTTGTGTGTTTTTGTCAGGCAGAAATTTATTTATACCCCCTTAGGGTGTAAGAGGATATGCATAAACAAGAGCAAAGAATAGGACGTGGTTGTGAGATGTTCTGCTGAGCTTTATGGGGAGATCTAGTGGACTGCGTGAGCTGATACTAGAGCTTCACTCAGGGACCTGGAAGATGGAAGTCCAGTTGGATAACACAGGTTGAAAGAACCTGTCCATGATGAGCAAGCATGAAGCAACAGTGGAGAGGAAAAACTCCCAGTTCGGTAAAAACGTCTGGCAGAACCAGACTCAACATGGCGGTCTTCTGCCGGACCGGTTAAGATGAGACAGGGAACGCAGTAAGAGTCCGGGAGGAATAACACTCTGATGAAGCTTTAGCTACGATGGTGGAGGAAGGGGTTGAGGTGGGTTGAAACGGGGTTATCTGAAGGAAGTCAGACAACGCAACCACCACCTGTGCACAGGAGCAGAGGAGTTGCAAATCGGAGGCCTTTTAAAATGTACATGGGAAGCTGATTGGCTTTCATAGAGGCATGGTTGAAGGCTGATTGTTTTGTAGGCAGATGAAGGCGAGTAATTGTCATGATCTCGGTGCTGATGTTTTTTTTTTCATTATCTTATTCCTCCCCCGTCTCATTGGTCCTGCAGCTGATTAATGCCCATTTCCACCTGGTTCCTCTGTTATTTATGTTGTGTGCTTGCCTGCCATCAGCTCCAGGTTATTCAAGTGTTTTTGGTGAGGCGAACTCTAGCATTCTTTAGTCTGGTTTATTTTCCTGATTATGACCAGTTTCTGCCCTGTGGATCTCCAGTTTTGCTTTGACCCTGTCTGCTCAGTTTGTCTGATCTGTTTTGGACTGATTCTTGGATTCTTCCGGCTTCTGGACCTGGAGCTGTCTTCTGACTGCGGCTTTGGATTTTCCCCTTTGGACTCTGTTGCTGCTCGGCGTCGGCTGGCGCCCGCGCCGCTCGCTCTTAAGGAAATCTGGGGGCAATGCTCACCGCAAGCTGTGGTCTAACCTCCTGTCTGGATTAAGCTGTGTTCTCAGTGAATGGACTGAACTTTGAATCAGTTCAGTGACTTTGCTCCTAGTCGTATTCAGCTCCTCATCCAGTCACTGACCTGTATCCTGCAACTGACGAACAGTCCCACGCTCCTGTTTGTATTAATAAACGCTTTGAACTTTCCCACTGCCTGTCTCGCCTCAAATTCTGGATCCAACATTCTGAGATCATTACAGTAATCAGTTTATTGAGTTGAACTTCTGTCTAGGCTCCATTTTATCGAAGAGCATAAGGCAAGTTCTTACAACAATGAACTGTGGACAAGCAAGGTTTCAAAGTCATGAAAAGACTGAAACCCTGGGGTGAAATGTTTTGTGGTTAGTTTGTAGTGGCAATAATGGTCAAAAATAATCACAACATTGATTTTTGAATAAATCAATCAACCCTAGTATGTTGAAGGAAATATATAAATGTCATGATGGGTTTTAGGGATCTGACCCACACGCAGAGACACACTCAGAAACCAAGGGTAAAAGTTAGTAGGTTTATTGTGGATTGCAAAAAACACAGATTGAGAGATATACAGCCGGGTAACACTGTTGGACCTCAGCGGACCGGTGAACCGGATACTGTTTAAGGGGCTCTTGGTTATTCTTTGGATCCAGTTTGTGGGGTTTTATCCAGAGATGAAAGAACTTGTTGGAGGGCGGACAGGCAGACTAACGTTGGATCCAGAGGAGCATTGGAGCGGACTGGCACCGGGTTTTCCTGAAGAGGACTTGAACGGATCATGTGGAGGTTTCCCCTTGCTCAGTGTGAGTCAGTTTATCCTTCCAGGGGGGTAGAAGGTCCAGGCTTATCCAGTGAATCAGGAAGGTGAATCAGGAAGGCTTCTTGTTGGAGAACAAAAGAAAAAGGCAAGTTTAGACTCAGAGAGACGAGGCTAAGGTTTGACTCAGGGCACCGCCTGGTGGTGGAGAGAAGAAAACAAAAAACAACCCACACAAACTGGAATCCTAACAATACAATAGTGATAATAATGATTATGTTTTTTTTTTTTTTTTACATAGACCAAAAGTGATAGCTTTTTTTTGTTGCCTTGCATTATTTGACATGCAGCTGGGTAGCTTGTGGATTGGATGCACAGCCTTCAACATCAACTGATTTGTGGTGAAAAAAAATCACATCAACTGAGGGCTGATATTCCTTTTATTTCTACATAGATCCTTTCAGTGTGTCTGTGTACTTTAGCAAGCAATGCACTATTTAACTTTTTGCAACATCTGTGGACTAACTAGCAGGCAACCCTGATAGTTGATGAAGAGAATTCTGTGCTTCAGAACTAGGCTCAGTGAGAACAGCCTTGTGTTGAGGCCGACTGGGCTTCAAGGAGACAGAAGTAGACATATGTAAAGAAGTAGATATATAAAAGATAATTGTTAATGTTAGGGTTGGAGTTGGGGTCGGGTTAGGGGTCAGGGATTTAGGATGTTGAATCCCCTTGTATATTAAGTATATTAATAAAAAAATCCTCCTCAGTATCTTATAAATTTTTCATAACATTACAAACATAAATATTGACTCGACAAACCCAACCATGTCTTTGTGTTGCCTTTAGTAATCTTTTTTTGGTTCGATTTATTCACATTATTATATACTTTATTGCTCATCTATTAGAAATTAACTATACACTTGTTAACCGTTAACTGCGCTTTTTGCAGGTACCGGATCTAAAGCAAGAACAATGTCTTATTAAGGCTGACAAATCTTATATTTTGCACTGTTATGCCTTTAATAACATATATATTGTTGTTGTGATTTATCAAAATGTACTTTATTATGCCCTTATTACAAGTTAGTTATACACTTGTGAACAGCTAACTATGCTTTTTGCAGCTACCGGATCTAAAGTGAGAACAATGCCTTATTAAGTCTAATAAATATTCTGTTGAGCATTTATTAATGGCTTATGATTTTCACAACTTCCACATCTGGAATGAACAATACAAGCAGGCAAAGGTGATGGAAAGAAAACAAAATTGCTTAACACAACAAATGTTTCAACGGCAAAGCCCAAAAAGGTTTAGTAATACTAATTAATTGTCTTATAAAGACATAGTAATGTTAATAAGCATGTAGTAGGTACTTATTAAGATCTTATTACCTATTAACTAATGCTTATTACAAGGACCTTAATATAAAGCATTACCGATCAGGGTAGTATAATTAACGGTTTGTCTGTTTCAGGTAGAGAAGCCAAAGTGAACTCCTCTCGATCTGAAAAGCATAGTTTGGCTATAGTTCCTAAACTTCTGATTTGAAGCTTGAAACCAAAAATATCTGCTCAAATCTACTTTATATTGTTAGTTTTCAGGTTAAAATGATTGCCTTTTAATCCCATTTTAAATGCCTTGCTTGTCACAAGTACAAAGAACAATGAAATTAACTCTGCATTTAAGCGATTCCTTTGGGGAGCAGTGGGCAGCCATTGAGTGGCAGCCTGGGAGCAGTGT